CTTTCCGTTCAGGGTTCCTTTCCCCCCCCCCCCCCCCCCCAGGAAGGGATTCTTTGAGACATAAATGGAAAATTCTGTGAAAGGAAGATAGTGGAGATGATTTACAGTTTTCTCTTAAATACAGTCGACTCTCTGTATAACGAACGCGGATGTAAGCTAAGAATTTCCGTGCCCTCGGGCAAAGAGGACACTGAATGAATGAATTTTCCATGTCAAGGGGGAACGAAAGTTCCCGCTTGACGGAAACTCGGAAGAGTCAGTCGTCATCATCCTCATCTGCGGCCTGCGAGAAAAGCTGGGCTCCTCGGCCCCACCCGTGCGAGCTTCGTTGTGCAAGGCTCTTGGAGGCGTGTTCGCAGTGGAGGCTTTCACACGCTCGCGGCCGATGCATGTTTCCGGCGATTTTAGAGCGAGGTCAGATGGTCTGTCCGTGGGACGTGCAACAGGTTGCGTGTCGACCCTTTCAGACCCAATTTTAGCCCGATAATTTTTACATATTGAACCAAAATAGTAGAAACCGGATAACTGCACAAATTCTCCATGCCCAGAATTTTTGCTCTGTTTTTTTACACGATCTAAACCCGGATAAGTGCAATCCGGCTTAGCGTACTGGCATTTTCCCTGACTTGTACCTGCCAGTCCTCCAGGAACTAGTACCTGCGTATCCACGTCTAAGTTTGCACGCCCTCCCTTTAAGTGAATGGCAAAGCCAAGTTGGTTTTTTAAAATTCAAGTATACGGAATAGTCACGAGCTCTCGAGTATCCCTAGAGTATTCATTGGCACGCTCGCGAGTCACCCTCTATAATAATTATATATATATATATATATATATATATAATTGGGATTCAGGGAAAAGATACCTGGGAAAAAGACAAAATTGACAAATGCTGAAGAAAGCCACCAGGGTGATTGCTTCGTAATTTCTCTATATTTATACATATAATTAAAGACATTCATTTGGTCTTAATTATCCATGCTTTTCATATTTTAGGGTGAATTTCCATCAATTACCCAAGTAAAATATCACCGATTTTCCATCTAGAATAAAACGATGGAAGATGCAAATCATCGCTCGATTGGAAGCACTTCTTTAAATATATAAACATTTTATTTTCCTATTTTCATTACGAATGGAAGAAGGACTTTGTTCAGCTATGAACATTGACTCCTATCAGTGCAATGCTTGAACAGACTTCGGGGCGGGGCGGGGCGGGGCGGGGCGGGGGGGGGTTTGGTCATACTGTTCGGTTTTTAAGGAATGGGCTGAAGTTGGACTGGTTTTATTTTTCAGAACATTTCAATGGAGTTGATCAAGTTGCATGACGTCAATATCACTAAATGTCCCAAAAATGAATGAGTCTTTGATCTGACCCGAACGTAACGGGATGACGCTTTTCTGCCTTTGGCAAATCTGGGGGTCTTATTTCCGGGTGGCTTTTTCCCTAAACCCCTATATGATTGTAGCAGAGCTTTCCTTGCTTTGGGAAACGCAAAGATGTCAATGACATGATCAGAATCAATTTTGCCGCTTGATTTTATTTTCACTGCGCAACACTTTTTTTTTCTGTGCCTCATTCGCCTTTCGCTTGCTTCGCCCCCCTCCCTTCTCGGCGCCCCAGGCAGATGCCCCCCCTTGCCCCCCCTCCCCCCCTTATTTACGGCAATGGCCCGGTGTGCAAATTTTGTATGAAATCGTACCCAGATAAGTGCACGAGGAGTTGGCCCCACCCAAGAATGTTGATCTGAACGACGTGGATGCGCTGGAGGATCAACTTCGCGATCTGTTTCCTGAAGCCAAAAGCCGTTGGGCCCCCATAAAGTCCCCAAGTGATGATGAAATTATATACACGAAGGGATCATAAGGATTCGGCCCTCCAAATGGAGACATAACGATATAGCGATAATAACGAAAACCCGATATAGCGATGTAATTCCGACGGCTTCATCGCCTTCGTCATAACGAGAGTCGACTGCCGTCGGTCTCCCCCCCCCCTCCTCCTCCCCCTCCCCCTCCCCCTGTGGCATCTTTCATCCGATATTTCCATCCTAGAATGGGAAGCCTCGACGCCTTGCCCCTGGTGTACGTGACCGGCTTCGGCCCCTTCGTCGGGCACGACGTGAACGCCAGCTGGGAGGCGGTGAAGCTGCTCCCGCGCCTCCTCGGCAGGGAGGACCGCGTGCAGCTCGTGGTCGAGGAGATCCCCGTGGACTACGACTTCGTCATGCGGGAGATCCCCCGGAGATGGCGGGAGCTCGACCCTCATGTCTGTTCTTTTCCCCCTCGTGTCTGTTCTCATTTTTCAAGGATTAGCATTCAGAACATTTTCAGTTGATCTTGTTCCACGGTGCCACCGAGGCAAATGGAATGTGGCCTTTAAAAGAAGCTAAGCCATGCATACGTAGGGTAAGCACCCAAGTTTTTTGGCCACGCTGATACTTCCTCCCATGGGAAGTGGACACCCCTGTGAGCACACCGGGAAACACTAGTAATGGGTCCTCGTTCGAGAAGATATTGATAGAACGCTTGAAAACCGCTAGATTAACTAATTAATTATGCCGGATTTAAGCCTCACTGGACAACAACTGGAGACAGGCCAGAAACTGGGGTGTTTACCCTATAGAGCAGGGGTCGGGAACCTATGGCTCATGAGCCTGATTTGGCTCATTGAGTCACAGCTGAAAATCATGGTTGCTCTTCACTTTTCTCATGTATCAAAGAATGCATGTCTATTGCCAACTTCAGGAATATTTCTGCTGTTCTGAAAATCTTTTGCTCACATACACTTAGCTTTATCTTAATATGGCTCGCACAACCGAAAAGGTTCCTGACCCCTGCATTTTTTTAAAAGCAGATAAGATTTCCTTTAAACCATTTCCAATCTTGCCCAGATAATGTGAGATGCAGCTTCACAATGATTGGTACTAGTACTGTTATGCTGCTCTGACTTGTTTGGTTTGATAAGTACATTTGTGTGTAAGTATTAACACTTACAGAATATGCAGTTATAATTGCATATTCACAAGTTTCAGGTCTGTAATTTAACTCAAGAGCTCTTTGAAAAGCACATGTATTATGTCACAAATATCAGTTGTAAGTGCCAGTGCTACTGAATTTTATTATTGTTATTTTATTATTGCTGAATATTAATACGATTCATGATCACTATTGAACAATATGGGGTGCTCATATTATGGACTGTTTGTTTCTCCTCTTTCTGCTTTGGTTTGACTGAGAATTAATTTCCCTGACCCTTGTTTGGGTTAATGCAAACCTGCAGGGTGCAGGTTTGCATCATACAACAGACATGTTCTTCAATGTTCCAGTTGTCTGACAAACAGGCCTACAAACAATTAGTGATGATTCTTGTGTTTCACATTTTTCTTACAAAAAAAGGCCCATTCAAGAATCTTCGAGAAACCATGAACAAGACCTTAATGCTTGCAGAGTGCAGAGGCTTGTCAGTACTGGGATTTTCTCTTCATGAGTAAGTATTGATCTACTTGTTTGTGCAAACAGAAGCAAGCTTCATTGGAGAAATCAGTTTGTCAAGGAAATTGTAATCTTGCCGATCTGCTGCAAGAGCCATCTGTGACTATCACTATTGGAAATCTGGCTGCAATGAATGATTTGAGGCAGCTTGTCACTTTCCTTAAACAATGGTCAGAGAAATTAATTCTCACTCTCACCATAGTGGGAGATGGAAATATGTGATATTCTGAGGTCTACTGATTAACTGTTCACTAACATAAAGTTGGTGGTTATTACACATTCAGTAAAAAGAAAGTTGACTGTAGATTCATGCACGTAGAGAATAAATTGATTGCATGGCTCTGCTTGAATACAGTATGTACAATAGACCAATATCTGCATGGCTTGCTCTGAGTTTGGAAGGATGCTCTCTGACCAAGCCTTTGGAAGGGAAACTCAACCCCATCTCATTTTTAAATTGAATCATGTATTTATGTTGGTGTCAAGAAAGAGGACATTCTGTATACAAATTGGCAAGTTTTGTCCAGCCCTAATGAGTACAGTGTGGATTGGGTGTGTTGCAGCTTGTGGTGCATGTGGGGGTGAGTAGCACATGCGAAGGTGTGACATTAGAACAGTGCGCAAACAACGTGGGGTACCAACGACCCGACATGCGAAAATGCTGTCCCATGAAGGGGAAGTGCCGAAGGGACGTTGAGGATACCTGCATCGTGTCGTCTCTCGACATGCACTCGCTCTCCCTGAGGGCAAACACTTCCGTCCCGCCTCCACCCATCTTGGTCCTTGTGTCACGGAATGCTGGCAGGTCTGTGGTTTCTTTCTCTTGTCTTTCTTTTGTGAGTAAGCTTGTACTGTTGTATTTGCTGGTAGTGGGAATTGGAAGGTGAGACTCGTATGTGAAGTGCATGTGAGACTCTTGAAGATTTCTTATGTAAAGTTTCCAACCCTTTCAGTGAACTGTACCAGATTACCCTAGACCATGACCAATTTTGTTAGTAAAAATCATAAACATTCAGGGAAATTATTTAATGGCTAAATTTGCTTTGAAGGAATTATCCATGGCAAGTCTATTGGCAACAATTATTATTCTTTAAATATATGCAATGTTTTTAAGTGTCATTCACACCAGAAATAAAAGCTTGGAGCACCATGGCTGATGCATATACCTGCAGTTGAAAATTACTCTCCTATTGCGTAGATAGCAGAAATGGGATCAGCTCTAGCTTGCCTGGAAAAAAGAAAATTCTTGTTAGACAAATGGAAGTGCATAGAATGAACTGTTTGCCCATTTTGATTCTTCTCATGAAATTGGAGGCTCTACTAAGGTTTCTCTCTTGTTGGTCATCCCTTTTTGGGATTCCTTTCTGAAAAACAAAATATATGCAATAAAACCTTCTTGAGTTTTGTCTGTTCCTAGTATGCACTACATAAAAGTTAGAGAATTATCTACAGCACAAGTATTCTTACAGTCCTTATTACTGAGTCTGAAGCATCAACTGTCAAAGTATAATGGTTTTGGTGTCTATTGCAGGTATTTGTGCGAGTTCACGTACTTCACATCCTTGAGTGTGGATTTGTCGAGGACAGCTTTCATACACGTCCCTACTGTATCCCCAAATGTTTCTGCTCATGATATTGCAGTTACTCTCAAAGCTTGTATTCTTGCAATGCTTGAATCCCTGTCAGCAGCCACTGCATGTAAGGATGAGCTCACTGCAGCTGCCGTGCAGTGACCCGTGAGACAACAACGGCTGTGATTGGTGGAGGTATATCTCGTTGCTCAATAGTATTCTGCTTCATCCATTGTGATTTTTGGAGGTGAATCCCATTGCTCAGTAGACTCTTCCATGCCAGACAGTCTGGCAAGAGTGTGGTATCGTGATAGTACTCTGGTCGAACTTCAGCCTTTGCATCAAGCATGAATCATCAAGGAAATTTTATCGCCCTGTCCTGACTTTTTTAGGAGTTTACTATTTGAAGTTCTAAAGCAAAATTTTTGCCTTTTTATTTGTGCTGGATCGCTTCAAGCTTTTATTGAAGTTCTTTTAAAATTTCAATTAATAAATAAACTGGGTTGATGGCTATGTGCCCTTGTTTCCATGATTCAGCTAAACGATGCAAGTAATTCTTTTCTTGTTTTCTTCCCTTCTTGAAGGGTCACTATTACCTAGTGGCACTCTCGTCATGAGAAATCTCAGACTCTTCAGAGTAATCCACTTTGATTAGGGTTGTGCCTTGTGGATTTTAGAGAATGATATGGAGGAGATAATAATTATCAATCAGCATTGCTATATTGCCAATCCTCTAAGTCAGGATCTGAAATGCTGAGAGAAATTTTGGGGCACAAATGCAAATCACTTATTGCTTTGGAGACTGTCATGACCTTGGGAACATTTCCCATTGACCAACTTCCTTAATTTTTCTGGAAAGGAATAGGGACAATTGCTTATCTTATGGGAGGGAGAGATTCCTTGGCTTACTCTAATCTCTCCCACCTGGATATACAGGTATGCATGCAGAAAAAACTGTAGTTTTTTTTGTAGACTCATATAATGGTATAGAGTTTGAGAAATGCACTTGGATTGTCCAACTAGAAATGAGATGAGGTTGTGAATGGACAGAGAGGCATATTCTGACAGATTATATGTTCAAGGAATTTGACAATGCCTTGATATGTTTCAGAAATTGAAGATTAGCTTTGAGGTGATTGTAATACTTTTCAGTAATCCTGTGTCTAGTATTATTTGTTTAAAAAAAAATGATGGTATTGAATATTTCTATTTTTTTAATGGTCACAGGGTTTTTTTTATTACTAATGTTATGCTTCTGGGCTTCAGTTCAGATGACCAAGATAATGCTTTTCATTCATTCTTACACCTAAGGGAATTGGAAATGAGTACCATTCTTGATGCTGGAACTGTGAATGTGCAGGTCTTATCCTTCATTTGAATTACTCATGGAAGAAATAGCAAGTAAATTTACTTTTACTTGCAGTAAGGCCCATAGTCAACCCTTTCATGGGCCTAATTCTCAAAAGGTCCATGTGCTTATTTTTCCTAACTTCACAGGACCATAGCAGGCAGTTGAAGATTGAACTAAGAAGCATGCCACAATGTGTGGACAGTATGTTGAGCTATGAATTGGAATTGCAAGGCCATATTCAGACCAGGAAGATCATTACAAAGAGGGGCTAATTTGTTATTTATATAAAAAAAAGGAGTTTACATCACTGTAGGTAGAAAAATTCAATTATGATAGTTTATATGGAGTAGTTCTGGATCCTTTTTCTATAGACAGTTTAACACTTTTAACCCTGGTATTTGAGTGATATGGACATAGGATGTCATTGAAAGGAATAAGGCTGGAAGTGTTCACATGGGTCTTGCATTCCACTGAGGCACTTGGATGTATCCTACCCTCGTCAATGTCTCCATGGATTACTTGTTGCCAGTGTGATTTTGATTCCAAATTTTAAAATGGACAGCTCATCAGGACACACCCTTTCTCTGTTCACTTCCTCAAATTTTAAGGGCCCAGGTTTGCAGTTTGCATACAGGGAACAATTGACTTTTCCACTCTGGGCCACATTTCCTAATTTCAAGACTCCTTCATGAAGTGATCTGACAAGGCCATTACATATGCCATACCTGTTTGCATAGGTCTACTGAGATAAATTACTTTCAGGCTAGAGGAGGATGAGATCATGTGTGTTCTTACTAAAATATCCTCATTGGCACTCAGCTTTTCAATGAAATTAACTTGGCCAAGATAATTTGAATTGACTTGGTTCTCTGGCTGAAGTCTAGCTGCAAGATGCAAATGTTTTAGCGCATTGGTAATTTACTAGAAATATAATCTTGCAATGCAGTTAAAGTGAAGGTGTGAAAAGTATCATTTCTGATGTGCTCCCTGATTAGAAAATCACTTCTAGTAATGATATGACTTGAATAGGATGTTCAGGAATCCATGAGTGACTCCCCTATTAACTTTCTCTCAGGCTTTCAAGGTGTTGTAGAGAAACAGATGGTGGGGATCAGACGGCCCCGAGGGTTGACGAATGGTCAGATATTTGTAGCCATTGTCTTGGGAGTCATTGGGGGTGTGTACATCTGGAAACCCGTGTTTGCACCCCAGAAGCTCAAGGAGAACCCCACTAAGAGTCATGAATAACGAAAAGCCATCCTTCAAAGTTCAGCAAGGAAAGAAGCATTTTGATCTGAGACGTCTGGCCAAGTCTTTCGGCACAGGTCTCATCTATGTTGTCATTGGTGCTGGACTCATTGGCATGTACGCCTCTGGTTGGAAGGTGACCAAGGCTCGACAGAATCAAGAATTTGCCAATTTTCTCTTGACAGAAAGGATGAAAAAAGATTAAACATAACATCCTTAGTATTGTGTGTCTCCCATGCATGTGATGTGAAGTGATTTAGAAATAGAATTTGTAGAGCTTGCATACCCTGAAAAAAGATACTGGATTCTATTGTCCTTCAAATCAATAGCTCTTGCCATTCTTTTCTTTTTGTCAAGACCAGTGAGTCATGGTCAAGGAAATGGACTATAGTCATTCATTCTGGGACATAACATGACTGCAGCCAGGTATTGCACAACATGAAGCAAAACCACATTTTCTGTCTCTACATGGTTTCACACGAGCTCGGTCCTACAATCATGAACTCGGCTAGGATTTTTCTTCTTCAAAGCTGTACTTGGTATTATAGAAGGGGAGGTATTGGAGAACCAACTTCCACTCCATGCCCCATACACTTCCAATGGCACCTGCTGCTCCAAACATAGTGGCAGATGGAAGCCTACAAGAAAAAACAATCCTATATAGAATTTGGCCCAAAAGGAGCACTTTGCAGCAGACAATATGAGTGTTCCTTCCTGCATTTGGGACTACAATTGCACTACTGTAGTTTTGGGAGGTGGCCCAAAAATAGACAAGGTTCATTCAGGGCAACTGGAATTCATGACTTCCATTGGCTGAACACAAATTGAATGTTCTATACACCAGGGCTTACATGAGTTTGTGCACAGTGCTTCAAACTGGCTAAGTGCAGTTAAATCTAAATTTAGGATTACTTAGAGACCCAGACTAAATGTAAAGAAGCACCTGAAATGATGAGTTCAATGATCATGCTAATTGAGGTTTACTCCCTTTGCTGACATGGATAATATTCTGATAAATCATTACATTCTGCATCCAAAAACTTTAAATGTTCTGATATTGAATCAGAAATATTCCAACTGCAAAGTTGGAACATTTTGCAAGGTATGGAAAAGAGGTCTCTTTCTACTCATATCTTTCTTCTGCTGCTCACCAAGTTGGCTTCCTGTTCACATAATTATGCATTAGGCCTAGCCAAAAATAAAAAAGCCTCACCATAACCGTGCAAGCTGGCGATACCGTGGTCCCAGAAAAACTGCAACTGTGGAGGGCAACTTCATAGTTAATAGGCCAGGGCCCAGATATGCGGCTGTAGGAAGCCTCAACTAAATTTTTGACCTGTCAAAGAATAGAAAAAGAGTTGGAGAAGCACAACGTTTTCTTGAGGTGTTTCCTTGTAAAACACTGTCCCTAATACTATATTCCAGCAGGCAAAAAGCTTTAACCAAAGATGCTTCAAAGCAGCACATGCTAGTTTTAATTTAAAAGTTTCCTCCAGTGAATCTAGATTAGCTATTTCAGGTCCTCCCATGAAATCAAATCAGTGGAGATAAAAGTGACCATAGATGCACGATGGCAATACATTTTTCTATCAAATGCTTCTCAAACAAAGAGATTGATTAATTAAAATCAATTCAAGTATTTGGGACAAGTGGGCCTTGAAGGACTCGTCCTCGTATGAAGGAGACACCACGGACGCCGCCATGATGAATTCGGACTCTGAACACAGACCCGGAACGAGGACCCTTATCGTGCGGCAGGTAACAGCGATTTCTTTATTACTCTCGCCATTTTGTTCTCCGAGCCAAGAATACATTTCAAGTCATAGAAGATTGCATGAAAGAAGTAAATGAGGGATTCAATTGGCTTTCTAATCACTTATAGAGCATGGGCAGAAATAATTTGGGAAATTTAAATCGCGCAACCGTGGTAAGTGGCTGCGCCCATGTTGCACAACGTGTGACGCCAGTGTCCGACTGCCGTGGTCCTAGGGCTTCAGCCGCTACTAACACTTACCCATCTCGACCTCAAGAAAGAGAAAAGAAATTTGAAGCTGTCCGATTATTATTTTCTGCAAGTGTAGATTTTAAATTTTCAAATTTTCATACACTGCCTGACGTTCATGTTAAACCCTAACTTACCGGTTGTTATATTAGGTTGCTTTCGGCCGTTATCATTCCCGAACGTTAATGTCCAAATGGACGCGAGGAAACCAGATGACGGCTGCAGCTAAGTATATTAGACCTGAGTAATGGGAATATAGATCTGTCCTTAATGTGGACCTACTTAAGGCTGGAGTGGAATAGGATTTCAAGCATTTTCAGTTCTTTTCAATGCACCTTGATTTAGCTGCAGAACTCATTTCTGAAGCTAGGGACCAAGTTGAGCTCAGTTTAAAACCCTGAAAGCTAGACATTTGAGGTTTGACTTGGGCTGAGCAGGCGAAGAATTAAGTTTTTCTGGGTCATGTCTGTATAACATTAAACTTCTCAGAATATAAAGGGTCCCTATATTCTCTAAAACATCTATATTCTTTTGCTGGGAACTTAATGAGTATGAAAGAGTCGAGTACTTTGAAATGGATAATTCTGATTGAAGTGTCATAAATAAGGCATATTAAACTTTCATCCTTTTGAGGAATTCCTACTTCTGTTACAAACCAAATCCATAGAAGGTCATGTGAAAAATGTCACTTTTGCTGCACATGTTAATGTATTATGACTTTCTTATCTTCATGTATCTGGTTACACAAATTCCTTGTTAAATATATTTTAAAATAGGTTTAATAAACTACCTAAAAAATTAATACATGAGGAAGGTGTTCCTCATGTATAAATTTTTACTCTCAGGATAAGGAGGCATTGAACCTCTTAACAAAGTTGTTAGCAATGATGAATAATGCAGATCTATCAAAGGAAATCTTGGTATTTGCACTCATGAAGCAGTTCTGCTTTCACTGCATTCACCTGAATGAAGCTTATGAAATGCATAATAAGAAGACACATTGGGAATGCTCAATCAAGGTACCTATCTAGACCAGTGGCAATGGACAGTGCCTGACTGAAGGCATGACAGCTCCTGCTTGGCTCAACTCATCCAAGATGTATTACTGAGCAGAACATCTTGTAACCAAAAAAAAAAAGAGTTGAATTAACATTACTTCAAATGATGAGATTTTCCTCAGACTCTCAGCATTAGTATCTGGTATGAAAGGATGGATTTGCTAAGATAAAACACATGAAGTTCATTAGGGTTTCCAAAAGGGTGAGACTGGAATGAATGATTGGGCCAAATTGAAAGAATGAAGTTTGGACTTATTGATTAGCAGTTGAATACCTAATGAATCATATTTCTCTGTTAATCATTTTAGAGACTCTTTCGAGGTGATTGCCACAGGGTCAATCCTGTGTTATTTGTGTGATCATGAGTGGATTAGATTATCTTGATCTCATTCTCCCATATTATCTGCTGATTGCCCTACCTGTGTTCATCATCTTCGCTCCCATCACTCCTGCACTTGCTGGACATGATTTCAATGTCTATCGCATGCAGCAGTTTGACGTGCAAGGCACTCAGTATGGTAAGGGGTTGACAATTCCCTGGTATCATTTTTTATTTTGTCCTCTGCATATATACAGTATTTCCTTGTTCAGGCTCTCGCAATGCCCCAGTCAGCATGGAAGCACGTACGCTGGCAGCCAAGAACGTAATGCGGAAGTGTGTCGTGGCTCGGTGGACCGAGATCCTGCAGGAAGGAGGGCTGGAGCTCTGGCGACGACTGCATTCTCTGGGTGTCGGGGCACTCCTGATCATCCTTCCGCAAAACATGTCTTCCTTCACTTCCTCTGAGTTGGAAGTGAGCTCTCCATTTTACTTGTGGTTATCATTTGCAAAGGAAACTTTTTGAATTAACCAGGAAGCTTGACTGATTTTCTATTATTTCTTTAGGCCAGAAGCAGTCATTTGCAATAAATCTTGTTTCATTCTGAAATTAGCTTGTTCCCATAATCTAATCCCACTTGGATTACTCCTTTCTATTATTTAGATTATATCTTTATTATTTAAAGATAAAGAAACCTATGTTTATTCTGATTTGTAGGGACTCAGTTGAGCAGTTTCTTTCTCTAGAT